ACCCCAACGCACCTTCTTGACCTTCAGAGCCACATTGGCGGCTGGCCTAAATTCAGTTGAAATTCAACAAAATCTTCTCCTTTACTTGAGGCTTTAACACACCATTCAATGAAAAACAACGTTACATGTCAAGCAATGGAACAATTTAAAGAAAAACACAAGGTTCTGCTCAGTAGGGGCTGATTTCCTTAATACCAGTAACTACAATCCGTTAACCTCGGTCAGTAATGCTTTAGCCACAACCCACAGTTCGTTAGATCCAAACTAAAAATCTTTAGCCATAACGCTGTGAGTGAGCCAGATCAAAAAGTATCCAACTATTCTGAGTTCAAAGAATGTTGAACAATTTTATTTTATACAAATGTCGATGTTTTAAAGCTTGATTGGAATACCACAAGATGTAGCTATCGCGTGCCGCGCGGTTGATCGTCATAATGGCATTAAATTTCGCACCACATAAAGATTGGAAAAGATCTAAACGATAGAATGCGATGAATATGTTTGTGATAACCGATAAAGAGCACTGAACAGTTGTTTCGTCCTGTTTGGGACTCGTCAGCAGTTCTCACCTTTTGTGTCCCTGTCAGGAATCGAACCGCGAACCTTCCGGTTCGCAGTCGACGGTCATCACCGTGCGCCAACTGCTCAGTAAATTTACACGGTGAAAGCTTGGATTAGCCCGTTCGGTTTTTCACAGGCACCAGGCACTGCTGATAATGATCTTGGATCTGAGTTCCACTCCTCATTATCAACAATGCCTGGTGCCTGTGAAAAACCGAATTGACTAATCCAAACATTTGCCCTACAAGGGTTTAAACGACTTGGCCGTATCGTTAAATCGTTTGGTAGATTTCCTATGGTTTCAGTGTTTTCAGTGATTCAATTTTTAATGTGGTAACTGATAAACTAATCAAATACTTATAAACGCATATGTGTTTGAGTTTACTGGTGGACGAAATCGGATTTGGTGGTTGGCATGTTACTGCGAATCCAATGCTCTCTGTGAATGTCAAAGATAAAACCCGGTTGCTCACTAATGATTAACGTGGAGCAGCTTGATCGAAACCTATTGAAAACACGTCAAGTAACCTTTATATGACATTCACATTTCATGATACCAGTGTCAGATGAATATGCTAACATGCTCGATTTGGGTCCTTTGCCCTTTTCAAATCATCACCTTTCAGTCCACATTCAGTCACGCCCCGCCGGTCCTCCGCACTGGTGAAGCAATAGGGCCTTTCCTGTCCAGTCTCTCCATTGTAGACGCGTACAACGGTGGGTGAGGTACGAAAAATATTACGGCCAACTACGAGGGTGTGTTTTTGCAGCGCATGACGGCACTACATGGAACAACTAAAATCCGTTACTTCTGTGAGTAAAGATCTCAAATTGAACACAAACGGCAAAACTGTTTTGCATACACAAGCCCTGATGTGAATCAAATAGTAGTGACAGAATAAGAAAAAAATAAACGACGATCCGAGCGCATCGTTCAAAGCTTTTCGAAGAGCTCAGCGTGCGATCGCCACAGCTGCGTATTTTTTAACCAAACCTTGCAACATCAACACATGTAGAAAATAAAATGATTCAGAATCCGATGACTGCAGAATATTCCGATATTTGTTGATCTGGCTCGCCTACAGTGCTGTGGCTAAATTTTATGCTTTCAAGCTAAAGCACTGTTGGTTTTGGCCAAAGGAATGTGGGTCAAAACTGAAAGCGTTGCGGATTTTGGCCTGAGCTTGATGGGAGAAGGTGTAGATGCGATTCAGTCGGACAGCGGAGTGGAGTCTATCTCAGCACATACCGATTCGAGCATAACTTTCTCCTCCTCCCGTGATTTTTTGACCCCGAACTCATGAGTGATTGAGGTCACCACGTCCAGTGAGTCGTAGAAAAACAGATCGGCGTTCATGACCGGATGAGCTAATGGTTGTGCGTGAAGGTCAGTGCTTCATGATGGCCAGTTGAAATCAGCTAATTGGTATTCTCTGTCTTTTCTCCACCAATCGGAACATGTGTGGATTTTGTTCCAGAATGCGCCACCCCATATGCATGTAGTTTCCCGTGTAGATGTCTTTTTTGATGTTTTTTTTTGTTTATTGAATATACAAATGTACAGTCAACTGTCAGGAAGGTGGGCCGCGGGAAATACGGAAATAGGGAAAACGGGCGGCGACGAAGCGGTTGCGAACCCGGGACTTCCATTGGTCAAAATTTGGTGACCTAACCACTTGGCCATTATCGCCCCGGAAGTATGATGAAAGTTGGCATACATAAACGATTGAGCAAATTCTCAACACAGTTTGACTTTTAACGACAAGACCGGTATGGGTAAGAAGCTGCGCAAGGTACGTGTGTTACGTGTTGCTATGTGCTTATATTTGGAGCGGGTGATAGATGTAGATATACTTTGGCTAGGATGAGAGTGCAGAGGATGAGATGGGTGTAGAGGTATCATGGTAAAAAGTTTCTGGTAAGCCTTAAAGTGCTGTGCGAGTAAAAATCGCACAATAAGCTCACGAGGTGCAACACTGTGTGGACATAAACGTTTGACATTTCAGCGTGAGTCTGAAGACATTTTGATCAGAAGGCCGGTGAAGGTAACTGTTGTATCCCGTATAAGTTAATAATAATAATAATAATAAATAAGCAAGTAATCAATTAAGCAGTGTTTCTATTTCCAGTGTGTAAATGTAAACGTAGTCGATCCGTAAGGCGGTGAGCAGGCAGTGTCAACACGCAGGCATGTAGGCACAAAGTGGCGAAATGCGGACAGATCAATACTGACCCCTGATTTGCTGAGGCGGATCGACCTAGTAACAGACTAAGTCCGCATGAGGTGCGTCCGTGCGTGTGGTGGCGGGCCTCAACGATTAATCACGTGATGTGCGGTAAACATTTCATTCGATTGCAGGTTACATAAGTAACTGTGGCCGCATAAAGCCAACGAGGAGGCTTGCGAGCAAAGAAAATAAGTTTCTGTCAGATAGATTGAGCTAGGTGAGTTTCTGCTGCTGCGGCAATATGAGGGGACCAGAAAGGAAGATCACGGGCACTGCTGACTCCGAGGCATTTGGCGGAGCACGCACTGAAAACCTGTTTTCCCTGGGTAACGATATAATAGCTCGAGTTTACCACGTCAATGTATTTGTCCTCGTTCAGCAAAGAGAATATGATCTCTGTCCACCGGAGCGGAGTGACGCTAAGATTGCAGTAATGTGAAAACCAATCGGTGATCGGCTAAAGGCTATGCAAGAGTTTGGGGGTACACGGAAAGTCGTGAAAAGTTCATGCCGTACAGAACCTCATCCGCACATTCAATGAGCAAACAATCGTCCAAACATAGGTATGGAATAATGAAAGTATTGTTTGAGTGGAGAGTAGAAGCGAAGAATCGCAACCCTTATATTTAGCAAAACTTGCGACTGAATACCTTACCAGAGAGAGAGAGTATGCAGACGTTTTGCCTTATCAATGCACTTGAAGGTGTCCCTATAGTCAAAGAAACAGCCGAATAGCTTTTAATTTACTGTCCAAGGAAGAGGATGCTCAATCAGTGAGGGACGCCAGCGCATTGCGGTTTGTTGACCTGGAGCTGTGATAGGCAAGTGGAGTGAGATCAGGTGCATCCAGCTGGGAGAACATCTTATGTAATAAAATTTTTTCTAGATTTTTCAAATCTACACCAGCACAATCCCCAGGGCGAAGTTTACGCGTTCACCTTTTGGGTGCTGGCGTGATATAAGCTACTCTCCCGCAGTCCCGAATACCATGCTAATAGGTTGAGATGTATTGGTAAAAACAGAAGAGAGGAATGCTGCACACGCTTAGAGCACCATTGCTGCTGCTGTACATCAGAGCCGCATGCCTCCCTATTCAACTGTAGACTGATGAAAGTCTGACCGGGAAGGTAACAACCGTCGGCAGCTCAAAAGTAATTAAGACAAATACAACACGACATTCAAAGGGAAGAGTCCACAAAACTTTAGCAAAGCAATGATAAAAATATTTGTGATTGTAGTAAAATAATCCATGAGGACGAGAAGAATAAATACAGATGTCACCAAAAATTACAAATCGGTAATTACGGAGGTGCTTAGATCTGTACTGGTATAGCAAATTGTTGATAAGTAATGGTGGTTTACACAAAATCTCATTTGTGTGACCTATACAAATGGTTATTTGTGCCTGTGCTAACGGCCACCATTTCCCCGGTGTTTGTAAACCAAAATTGATCGATCAACTCGCCAGCTGAAAACAAAAATTGTCAAGTTGAATTGTTCAACGTATCGGTCGCTAATTTCACAGGTGTTCCCTATTTTTCTATAAGCGTAAAAGCGTGTGATGCCACACAGCCAATACTCTGCTCATGAGTACTTCTACGTAGCTGCACCTTGAATAGTTCACCTGTCAAGGTTTAAATGCGTCTTGTGATGCGCGTGTGAATGGCGCCCAGTGAACAACAAGGAATTTCAAACCTGGGTGATCGACCTCGACGATTGATTACCATTTGATACAGAGAAACCCACCCTAGGGAATGAATTGTGTATGATCATTCATGTGTGCTCCGGTACAATTATTGTATTATACAGTGTTTGTGTGTGTGTTGAAACTTGTCAAATTCGATCACTGGTATGAAATTGATCGTATTCGATATTTATTTCCAAATTAGGCAGCGAAAATCGACTTTATTAGGCTGACAGAGCGAAAGAGTTTCTAACCACTTTCCAGGTGATTTCATCAGCCACTTGATTTATTTGGAAATAATTGGCATTCTAGTTAGTGTTACGAACATGTGGTTGTTGTTTTTCATACTTAATTACAACACAGATAGCTAACCAATGAGAATCGAACAATTATTCCCATGACTAGATATGTCTAGAATTTCACAGCTGACGGTTTGTCAAGACCATCCTGTCCCTTGTCGACATACGTATAAACTGTGGTGTAATCCATAGCCTAATAATCGATCAAGGATTCGGCATACTCAAGCCATGGATCAATCTTACGTGAAGGTCGATCCGATGATGGAACGTCGGTAAGTTAACGTGTGCCGTTGGCAGCGGATACGATATGTACATCCCAGGAGACACTGTTTATTGAATAATCGATCTATTTATGACCGAATTTATTACATTGATTTTTGCCTCATGAAGGAAGATGAACCAACTGCCAGTTATTTTATGCTTTTGGACATCATCGATAGTGCCTACATTTTGTCTGGAAGGGCGAATTGTCGGTATCTGCGCCGGTCCCGCTCGCACATCCCAATCACCACTAGCACTTTTCCATCATAAAGGTATATGGTTGACGGGAAACATATTCAACTGAATTCGACTTACGTTTTGCGCGATCCAGAAAAATTCACAACCTACACACACATTGATTGCATATCGTTAAGTAGGCCGTGATATATTGAAAATCAGCTGATTACCGGAGAGTATATGAAAACAAGTTTTCAATTCCTCCAACACCACACGTCATGAAAATCTCTACTCGTCTTTGTTCCAACTCTGAAGGGCTTATATTGCACGCTCCTGTCCTGATCAGTCAACACACACACACACTGTCCACTAATGATGTAGTTTGTATTGAACGCCTGCCGTATAACTGTGTTGCTATACCCAGCACTTTCTTGTCACACAAAAGATTCGATATTTAAGCATAAGTGTTTATGAATTAGTTGTTTTTCCAAATTCACTAACAGATTCGGAAACATATACTCAGTGTACTCTAGCGACTCTGATACGACAAGCACCGACTCGGACAGGTGTTCCAGCCCGGAAGTAGCGGCTGAATCGCAGACAACCAACAATCAACAACCAATTACGGCCCCGCTCAAGAAAAACAGCACGCAGCAGCCGAAAAATATTTTTCTCGACAAAAACAAACGCATTCTAACCTATCCGATTCCAATCCTCCTGGAGAACTTTACATTTGAACGGAATGTGGATACCAATGAGTACTGTTACAAAATCCAGATTGGTGATTCCCTGGTTCGTCTGCCACTGCTGTGTTCCGGCGGACGCCCTGATGCATTTGCCATCGATTTAACCTCGCTGATTGATTTGGACCAAAAGCTCCATGGCAGCACTCTCCGTCATGTCGCATTTCTGGTCATCTGGGAACAGCTCACTGAATCGATCAGCTAAGGCATGGCCCGTCGATACTCAGCCCAATTGCGCATTGCATCGGGACGAAAGAGCCGATTTAGGCACCAAACGACGCCACCATACAATTCGACCGAAGTGGCTCTTTGTACTTTGAATCTGGACAGGCTGATCCATCAAGCTGTCGATGCTATCAATCAGGCTCCGAAATCAGTGTAAGATCTACTTGTTGAAAGTTTTGAATCTTCTCAATTCCTGTTCTGATTATTACTGTGATTGATTTCAGGGCAAGTGAAAAGCACAATTTGAAATATCGTAATCGAGATAAGGTTGACACACTGTAATGCACCATTGTATTATCCCGATCAGGGCCCTCATTGGGCGTTATAAGTTAAACAGTATGGCGAACAAGCTTGTTTTCGTAACTTCGTCTTCAGGCCTTTACAGTTATGTGTGCGTATATCTCATTTAGAAATAAACGTGGTTGGACCATAGAGGTTATGTGTGAAAATGCAACAATGTCTGTCAAGTTTAATCG